GTACAAAAAACATAATTCTAAAAACAAAATAAATAAATAAATAAATAAAACGGTTACCTGGAAAAAACTTTAACATTCAAGGCACTCACAAATCAATCATCTTATTTATTTAATATATTTCTATGCTACCTCTTGAAAGTCCTGCATGAGGTAGTTTACAATTAAAACCATGTCACAATATTAAAAACAAGCCAATAAAGGCGAGCAGTTGGGCATTGTGGTATATTGGTATTATTGCTCTAAGAAGAACTCTCAGAGGCTCTCTAGGAAGGAAATGCTCAGGTCTTGTGACCATAACTGGAGGAGGAGTTATAGTTACTAGGGCCTAGTTTTGGCTGTTGACCACTACTGCCTCCAGCACTAAAGACATAAGAGACACAAGCAGCACAAAAACTATCTATAAAACAAAAGCAAACTATTAAAAAGCTGGTAAGAATAAATCCTAATTAAAAGCCTCAGTAAAAGGATGTGTTTTGGCCTGGCACCTGAAAGAAATTAAGCTCCAGGCAAGCCTCAAGGGAGAAGGGGTGTTCCAAAGGCAAGGTGCCACCACCAAAAATGCTGTCTCTAGTTGCCACCTGCCTCACCTCTGAAGATGGGAGAGCAGGGCTTGAGAGGTAGGTCTTAACTGGTGGACTGGATAGCATACAGTCCTTTAGGTACTCTGGACCCAAGCCATTAGTGCCTTAAAGGCAAAAACCAGCACCTTAAGTTTTTCCCAGAAACAGATGGGTTACCAGTACAGATATTTCAGCACAGTTATGATCCCTGGAACCAACCCCTGTCAGTAACCTGGCCACTGCATTTTGGATCAACTGAAGCTTCTGTACTGTTTTAAAAGCAGTAATCTACCTCAGATGTGATCAGAGCATGGGTCACTGTTGCCAGATCATACTTTTCAAAGAACAGCTGTAGCTGGTGAACCAGCCAGAGCTGATAAAAGGCCCTATGTGCCATGGAGGATATCTGAGCCTCCAACCATAGACCAGGATCCAGTAGCCCACCTAGCTATGAACCTGCTCCTTTGATGGGAGAGCAACCCCCTCCATGACAGGCTGACTCCACAGTTCTCTGAGCAGCACTGACCAATGACACCTCTGCCTTGTCTGGATTAAGTTTCAGATTATTATCCATACCATTACCTTCTTCAGACACCTATTCAGGGCTTCCACAGACTCACCTGGCTTAACTGTTAAGGAGAAACAGAGCTGGGTATCATCCACATATTGGTGACACATCACTCCATATCCCCAGATGACCCCTCCCAGTGGCTTCATGTAGATGTTAAATAGCACAGGGGGCAAGATGGAACCCTATGAGACCCTAAAGCATATATGCCTTGGGGTTGGGCAGCAGTCCCACAGCACCACATTTTGGATCAGTTGGTCAAGTAAGAGCAGAACCAGTGAAGGACGGTGCCCCCCCCCCCACTCGCAACACAGCCAGCCCCTCCAGGATACCATGGCTGATGGTCCTGAAAGCTACTGAGAGGTCTATGAAAATCAATTGGGACTCACTCCCCCATCACTCTCCCAGTGAAGGTCATCAGTCAGGGCAACCAAGGCCATTTCCATCCCCAAACCAGGCCTGAATTCAGATTGAAATGGGTCTAAAGAATCTACCAAAAGCTTTTCTGAAAATATGTTGTCGAAGGCTTTCATGGCTGGAGTTCATTAGTTGCTGTAGATTTTCCGGGTTGTGTGGCCATGGTCTTGGCATTGTAGAACCTGATGTTTCACCAGTAGCTGTGACTGGCATCCTCAGAGGTATAACACCGAAAGATGGAGTACTCTCTGTGTCAAGGCTTTTCTGAAAGGTTATGTTTTAAAAGCTCTGTAGCTGCTTGTTTTAGAAGCCTTGAGAAATTGCCCTGTAGTTATGTTCCTGGAAACTCTGATCAAAATACTCACAAAAACTTCAGAGGCTTCCCAGGTGTTTCTTGAAAGTTCAGAAAATCCCAGTCATCATGAACCAAGCTATTAAAACTCAGGAGAAAAGTACTCACAGTCCCTTCTCTTTTCCTGAGGAGATCTTTCCCTCAATTCCCTTGTGAAGCCCTCCTGCTCCTTATACCTTTTCCCCAAACTAACCTTCCTAACCTTCCTACATACATGATATGCTTTCCCTAGGTATGTCGGTGCACTGGGTTGAGAGGCATGGTCTGGGAGTTCTGTGCTTCCCAAGTACACAGGGGCCCTATTTGGCCTGGGACCACGGTATGCCGGAAGAAGAGTCATTAGCCTTTCCATTGTACTGCTGGACTACATACTGCATTTCCCTAGTGGGCGAAATGGTGGCTCCCAAGAGCCATTTCAGGTTCAAAAAATGGTGTGTTGGGGGGAGGCCAAACCCCCTCTCTCCTCATCTGAATCAGGACCTTGAGTGTCTAGGAAGTATGAACTCCCAGTTTACATCTGTCAACCCAATCTGGGAACAATATCAGAAAAAATGTATCAGATAGTTAGATTCAGGTGAGTAGCCATGTTGGTCTGAACCAGCAGGACATAAGCTTTTGGGTATAAGCTTTTGTGTGCCCACACACTTCTTCACACACTAAAGCATCCAGAATAAAACTTTGTTGGTCTTAAAGGCGCCACTGGACTCAGACTTTTTTCTGCTTCATATAGTGTGAGACCTCTGTGGTGTGGAGGGATGCAAAATAGAAGACCTGCTGCTCAGGCCTCCATAAGGCCCACAGAAGGTTTTCCACTGGAAGGCTTCTGGGGAATGTAATTTACCAAGGCAAATTAAGGATGGCAAATTTGAGGGAAGGGAAAAAGAGGTGGGGGCAACTTGGATGGGCAGAAATTATTTATGAGCTGAGCCACGATTTAAAAGTTTGACATGGCCTTTAAAAAGCTCTGAATTGGGTGTTGTGTGGAGTAGCTTCTTGTAAAAAGAAAATGTCAAAATCTTGCAACATCACAACATCTGCAGACTTATTCATGTGTCTAAACATGAATCTAGTGTCTGGTCCTATTAGCAGGGCTCATTTCGAGCTGGAGCCCCTGCCCCCTGTCTGGCCCTGCCTCTTCCCGAGCGGCCCCTCAACTTGCCGTGGGACCGGCTCCTGCGGCTCTTGGCGTCTCCCCTGTCTGCTCACCAGCCGGTCCTGCCTCCTTGCTTCCTGCCACCTGCACCCCTCTGGGCCCCCACGGCCTGTGCTGCAGCTGGGCTCAGGCACGCCCCTGGCAGCTGCCCTCCCATCACCATAGCTGGAGTGCTCCGTCCGCGCTGCTCAGGTTGGGCTTCCCTCTGGTGTCACAGCTTCCTCTCCAGTGGGCTTGCTGCAGCTGTTCGCCAAGAGGGATCATTCGTCTGGGGGGGGGTCTGGTCTCACCCGCCAGGCCAATGGGCAAAGAAGTTTTGTTGGTGGGGGGATGGAAGTCGTGGCTTCCTCTGAGCCCGGGTGCCTCTCTCTGGTGGGTGCAGCAGCAGGAGAGCCCTCCCAGTGCTGCTGTGGCTGCCAGCCAGTCCCCCTCCCTCCTTCTTTGGCTGCCAGGGGCTCCTGTGCAGCCCCTTTGGCAGGGCATAGCAGTCTGGTCAGGGGAGGGGGGAGCCCTGTGGCGCGCTGGGCTGCCACTGCTCACCCATTGACCCTCTTTGGGGGTGTGGCTTGGGTGCAAATCCTGATGGGCTGCTCTGCCACAGCAGGAAGACTCTTGGGAGCGGAGCAGTTGGGCCAGCAACAGGGACATGGTGGTCAAGCTAAAAACGGGAGGCACCTCTGGGGCGTAGCTGCCTCCTGTCTCATGTGTGGGGGGGCTTGGCCGCAGGAGCCCCCTTGCTGAAAACGGGGAGCTGCTGCACCTCAACTTGGGGTGGAGGGCTCTTCTCAGACTTTTGCGGGTGCCTTCGCCTTTCTCCCGACCCCTGAGCAGGCAGGCAGGCAGGCAGGCAGGCAGGCAGGCAGGCAGGCAGGCAGGCAGGCAGGCAGGCAGGCAGGCAGGCAGGCAGGCAGGCAGGCAGGCAGGCAGGCAGGCAGGCAGGCAGGCAGGCAGGCAGGCAGGCAGGCAGGCAGGCAGGCAGGCAGGCAGGCAGGCAGGCAGGCAGGCAGGCAGGCAGGCAGGCAGGCAGGCAGGCAGGCAGGCAGGCAGGCAGGCAGGCAGGCAGGCAGGCAGGCAGGCAGGCAGGCAGGCAGGCAGGCAGGCAGGCAGGCAGGCAGGCAGGCAGGCAGGCAGGCAGGCAGGCAGGCAGGCAGGCAGGCAGGCAGGCAGGCAGGCAGGCAGGCAGGCAGGCAGGCAGGCAGGCAGGCAGGCAGGCAGGCAGGCAGGCAGGCAGGCAGGCAGGCAGGCAGGCAGGCAGGCAGGCAGGCAGGCAGGCAGGCAGAGAGAAGAAACCTAACAGTACAGCTTGCATTCCTTATTAGTGAAAGGGAGCAAGAGTCCAGCAGGAGAAGCAGATGTTTATTTAAAATTCACTGAAGTAACTGCAGGAAACTTATTTGTGCAGGGGAAACAGGAACATTTTTCTTTTCTGCCCTCCCAAAATTTGAGGTTATTTGTGGATGTGGCATTTGACGCCACCACCCTCAGACTTCTCTGCTGCCTTTGTTAATTGGAATGGTCACAATGGGTCCCTGTAATTTAGTGGGTCTAGAATGCACAATTCTTCTAAATTGGCACAGAAGCAAGTGCCCAAGGTCAGTCATTCTTGAATCTATTGATTCTAATGACTTCTATATTTTTTGGGGATGGATTTAAGATTGCTGTGTAGGGCAAGCATCTTTAACCAACAGTAATGCTGTGAGCTCCATACTTTATGTGGCAAATTACCAGTGTCTCATTACCAGTGCTGATATCTCTACTCCTACTACCCTACTACCTACTCAGGGGGTGTGGCATATGCAAATAAATTATGCTAATGAGTTATGCTAATGAGCTCCTGAACCTCTTTTTCTACGAAACGACCCCTGCCTATGAGGATCTGCAGAGCCTATTCTGAAAGTAAAATCATAACAAGGAAATAACAGAGAAGAAGTACCAGATTCCTTCACTTACCGTAATGGCAGGTGCAGCAAAAGCCAAACTGAGCAGCATCAAGAAAGGAACAGCCTCTTGTGAAGGCTCAATGTAGGGCATACTCAGGCTCCTGTCGTAGCAGCTGAATCCAGAGTGAACGGGCTTGAAGACATCCGTAAGCTCAAGGAAATAGAGGCTAACGACAGAAGACGCCAGTATGGGCAACTGGGGAGAGAGAACATAGAGAAGTGGTTGAAAGGAATACATAAATCATGGGTCTGGTCTGCAACATAATCTAATCCTGACGTCATAATGAAGTCTACAATTGAAATACAAAAAAGTCCAACTGATGTACATAAAGAAGCAGTTAAGCATATTCCTGCCTTACAGTAAGGCAGATCCTGGACCCATCTGGCTCAACATCTTCTGCTCTGAGGGGCAGTGGCTCTCCACCATCTCAAATGCAGAAAAGTTTTTGCCAACACATGCTGCCTAAGGAACTTTAGCTCAAAAGGTCAAGGACCAGACCCAGGACTTTCTGCACACTATGCATCTATATCTATATATATCAATATATCTATACCTATCTATCTCTGTCTATATTCTATATTCTGTCTATATTCTACTACTAAGCCCATCAACGTGAACAAATTTCCTGTCAAAAACACATGGACACATGAAGCTGCTTTACACTATTGAGGTCAAGGTCAATATTGCCTACTTTGGCTGGCAGCAGCTCTCCAGGGTCTCAGTTTGAGGTTTTTCACACTAATCATGACCTGAGTGGTTTGATTAATGTTACATAACACCCAGTGTGAAAATTTAAGAATTTATTCAGAGTTTTTCCAAAGTGCTTGACGAATTAAACACACATTACCCATGCAACATTTGTAATGCAGACCAACATTATTCTCCTCACTTTAAGTGTTATTTCCATATCCCACAGGAAGATCTAAGGCTAAGAATTACTTGTTTACTTAAAGCCACTGTGTAGTTTACAGCTGAAGAAAGGCATGAATAAAGGTCCTCCTGGTTCTTAGATAAGGCGCAACACTCACTTGAACACTTTATTTACTTTGTGGAAGATCACTATCAAAGGAGACATTTCAGAAACACATAGCTTTTTGGCATCACAAACATTCTGAGCACCAAAAGAATAGCAAAAGAGTCAGAGAAATTCCTACAAGTAAGGTGATAAAGGTTACAACTGAGGGTGGATAAATAAGATGTGCTAGAGAAATGTCACTATGTGTGTTAAGTGCCATCAAGTCGCTTCTGACATGGTGACTCTATGAATTAATGACCTCCAAAATGTCCTATCGTTAACAACCTTGCTGAGGTCTTGCCAACTGAGGGCCCTGGCTTCCTTGACTGAGTCACTCCATCTCATGTTGGGTCTTTTCCTGCTGCCTTCAACTTATCATCGTTTCCAGTGAGTCTTATCTTATCATAATTTCACTGAAATCCAGACCAAACATTCCTTACTGATATTTCAGATCAGCTCCCAGTTGTCTTTCAAACCCTCTTAGGCAAAATTCAGAAGTCATGCAAATCCTGCCGCTGTCACTCCTCTTACTGAAATTCTTCTGACTTGCTTTAAAATGCCTAAATATTGTGCCTGAAAGCAACTCCTCTATATTTGCCTTGAATTTCATATTAGTCAAAATCTGGTGGAAGGAAATCTAATAAAAACCCTGTATCTGACAAAGTGTTCTTGCACACAAAAGCTTATGTCCAGAATTAAACTTTGTTGGTCTTAAAAGTGCCACTGAACTTAAAACTTTTTTTCTGTTGCTTCAGACCAACACAGCTACCCTAATAAAAACCCAGTTCCTGTTTTGGGCTACAGTTCTAATAATATTTTCCTGGAAGCAAGCACCAGTGAATAAAATGGGATTTACTTCTGACTAGTCATCCTTAGCAATGCTCCCTTTGTCCACATCAGTACTAAATTAACAGTATATCTATAATGTCATTTTCCCCTTCTTCCTCTTCTGTTGCTAGAATTTTAATTATATCAACTTAACTGGTTTCTATTTGCTTGTTTCTGCTGCTGTTTCATCTTTTAGTTACACAATTTGTAATGATGGTTGGGGACTATTATATAGCTATTAATAGCAATCTTTTTTATTCCTTGAAAGCCCATTCACTAAAGTATTTGGAATCTGATCAATGCACATCATGTGTGGTTCACAATGTTTATTGCAGCTTGAGCCTATGAATGAGATCAAGAGAGCAATCTTAAAAGCAGAGTTTCACCCTTCCTAGTCCATTGAAGTTAGTGGGCTCAGAAGGGTATAGCTCTGCTTAGGATGGCTCTGCAAGAGGGTCTGTGGCTCCGATCATACACAGAAGTTGCCGCGGGATACTCATGGATGCCGGGCGGATTTAATGGGCACGATCACACCAGCACATCTGGCAAGTGTTGCACACTCGTTGGCAAGCCATCGCATCCCGCCGAAGAGCCATAGTTCAAAGCTACTGCAGAAACACCAGTATTATCCGCTTGTGACGGGCCACAGATGGACGTCCTCCGTCTGATCACTCCAGCACCGCATGAAGCACGCCGGAATTGTGCGCCGACAAAATGCTAGCCCCGATTCCCTGCCGTCACGTCTGATCGCGTTCGGCCGGGTCACAACTGCGGCGGAGCGAAAAGCCACACCTCCCCCCCCCGTGTTCTCTGGCCAGTGTGACCGGGACCAGGGACTGGAAGCACAAGCTGAATACACACAAAGTGTACCACAGTGAGGAACAAGTCAAAGAAGAAAAGAAGACTAGGTTTTTATACCTTGCTTTTCTCTACCTTAAGGAGTCTCAAAGTGGCTTACAATCACCTTTCTCTTCCTCTCTCCACAACAGTCACCTTGTGATGTAGGTGGGACTGAGAGAGTTCTGACTGTGATTGGCCCAAGGTCACCCAGCTGGCATCATGTGGAGGAATGGGAAATTAAACTTGGCTCTCCAGATTAGAGTCTGCTACTCTTAGCCACTACACCATGCTGCAGTAGAAAAGAGCAAGAGTCCAGTTGCACCTTAAAGACTAACAAATATGTGGCAGGGCATGAGCTTTTGTGAGTCACTGCTCACTTCTTCAGATATAAGCTTTTATGAATTTGACTCACAAAAGCTCATGCCCTGCCACATATTTGTTAGTCTTTAAGGTGCAACTGGACTCTTGCTCTTTTCTACAGCCACAGACAGACTCACACGGCTACCCATCTTCATCTATCACTATGCTGCAGAGTCCTGGAGGAATCTTCTCTATCACGAAATGCTTTTGCTTTGCCATCATGCTGCTTTTTTCAGCATGAATGCAATGAACGGAAGAAGGTGTGGCACCTTGCTCTCTAGACATGCATATGAGCAAAGTCCTTTTAAAAAATAGCAAAATAGTGGCTATGTATGGGCTTGCAAGCCAGCTCTAGTAGTTTCGTGTCCCAAACTAACAGTTAAAGACTTCTACAGGAGAGGACAGTGGGACTTATGTCCAAGTAAATGTACATACAGCTTAGTTTGACAATCCTATTCCAGGCCTGCAGAGTTTTCACTTTATTTGAATCACTGCAATTATACATGATTGTGAGATCAGTTTAAGCAAGACTCCACGTATGAAACACCCCATTGATGCATGGTTACAAACAGTGGCAACAACCAGGTTGCCACCTCTACCTATGCAATATTCATGGGAAAATTCAGTCATGGCTCAATTCTTATATCATCATTACAGCATGGTGACATGGTCCCATGCTCCACTGGCAAACTGTGAAATGGAGGCAAATTGTAGGGTGGATGAATGTAACAGGGCTGTAAGGTGACCAAAACTCATATATTTTTAATATGTTTGCCTTAAAGTTACTTCATTTATTTCATAATTTTAATATACTTTTCATTTGCATAGAACTGAAAAAAGTATCAAGCTTCCAACTGCGTTGTCCCTGACCCCACCATTTCTGCATTTACTGCCGGTCTACTAGAGCAGTTCACCAGATACTACCCAGTTGGGAATAGTCTTCCCCAACTTATAGGGTAACCTCCCCCATTTAGTGTCATCAGCCTGCTGAGAGATGCAACACTGGTACAGGAAACAACCATAGCATGTATTTATTTATTTATGCATCTCTTTGCTGCTTTTTTGGTCCTCTGGGGGCCCTCAGAATGGTTTAAACTAAAAAATACATTAAGCACTATAATACATTCACACTATACAATACATTAAATTTGAGTTAAACAATAACAAAATTAATCACAAGGGTAATGTAATATTCAGCCATTCATCACTGTGGTGTTGATCTACCTGACTCATACTAATTCCAACCTCTCTCTTCCCTTAAAAATAAAATAAACCTTCAAACTGATCTTAGACTGCAAGACTAATTTTCATTAAAGCTCAAAGATATTCAATGACAGAAATGAAATGCTTTTCTAGGATTGCATTACAGCACACAGCATTCCATGATCCAGTCATATACTTAGAAAAGCAATTAACATTGCACAACATTAGAATATAACTGTCTGGGAACATCTACCACATTCATGGGGCAAATACACTTGCCAGCAATTATATAGTTTTTTTTAAAGGCCTGGCGACTCTCTCTTGTACCCTTCAGAGATTCCCCTCCCCATTCTAAATGGGTGCGAGAGACAAGTTTCCATTCTCCAAAGTATATGTGGGGAATGCAGGGAATTCAAGGGAAGGTTTGGATCTCAGTGCACTTTGTGGTGGGTTTTAGAAAGTGGTGGAGATCGGGTTTTCATGTTCCCACTGGGAGTGGGAGACCTCCAATTTGCCACAAACCCTTCCTAACACTCATTCATCTGGGCAGCAGGAGAAAAATGGGGGGGTGGGTGGGAAAAGCAACTGCTGGCATCCTGACATGCTGGTGTCGCTTCTGGCACAACCAAAAGTTACATCATGTCATCAAGAACACTCTGGCATTCAGCCAAAATGACACCATTATGTTGCTAGCAAGTGCCCAAGTGGTGAGCCTCCTAGTGATTGCCAGACTCATTCTGGCAACCCTAAGTGGAGAAGTCTCTCAAGTGAAAGACTGATCTATACTATACTCTCCTCCAAGTTTTCTTCAAGTGTCAGAAAACTAGGAGGGAGGACAGGAGGAGTCAGTGGCAATCCCAAATAATGACTAGCTACTAAGCCAAAAATTGTGTCCCCCTATGCTTATACAACTCTGAAACTAAGAATTGTGCACAAGAATGAGGGTGGC